ATATAACTCGAACACATGATTCACATTATCCCAAAATTATATTGTGCAGAATTTTACGGCTAAACCACTTGAACAATTTGGAAAGTTTATGTAAGATGAACTTAGATAGAAAATCAAGAGCGAGTCTAGAGAATAATGCCATTTTTCTTGGCTGAATCATATCGTTCGTTCATGCGAAATGTAACGTTGAGGCCTTTTGGCCGCCTAGATAGTGTGATTTAACGCCTTTAGACTATTTTTTGTGGAGCTATGTTAAATCCAATGTCTATACAGACAAGACCGCATTGGAGGACAACATTGAAGATTTTATTCATGAGATACTGGCGGAAATGTTAGAACGAGTATGCCAAAATTGGACTAAGCGAATCGAAGTGTAACATCGACCCGTCGATCACTTACATCAACGACAAGCAAAATCGATCGTGATAAAAGGCCAGTGCGCCTTTCACAAACGATCTCTCAGCCAGTATTGACAGCCAAGAAAGGCTTTGTGGAGTGTTTGGTGGGATTGTCAAGGAATCATCCACTATAAGCTGCTGCTCTACAACTAAACTTTTATTTCGGATCTGTGCTGTGAGAAAGGATGTTTAAAGGATGTTATTGCCCAGAAGTGCTCAGCCCACACTAAGTATTTTGTTTCATCCACACCACACACATCAAAAGCGACTTGCTAGAAACCCCCAAGAGCGTGGTTGGGCGGTTGTTAGGCATTCCAATTACAGTTAGGATTTTACATCAAGTGGTTTCCATCAATTCCTGTCTATGACAAATGAGGGAAAGCGATTGTCATATTTTTTTTTTCAACGATGTAAAGGATTCTATGAGAGAGACGTAATGACAAAAATGTATCGAAGTATCGAAACGGTGTTTATTTGACATAAATCGCATAATTCTAACGTTGATAAAAGTACCCTTCAATTTAATGCAAAAATAATTTTTTACTTTCTTTAGACCTTTTTTTGGCAATCCCAACTAAAATGAGTTCTGGGCATTTTAAAGTTAAGATTTTATTTTCTTTGAAAATATAATCGTGGAGACTTTTTAAGTTATCAATATGCAATTAGCCAATTATTATTTAGTTATTTATTATTATTTTTATTTAAACACGCATGATTAATATAAATTAATTAAAATATTTTCAATACTGCATATAAATATTTTGTGCGAGATTTGATAAAATCGAGCAAAGTGCTTTTCAATGAAATGTGCTTGGTTGTGCTTTTTAAAATATAGTATATCAGGATTTGGTTATTTGGTCTCAAATTATTTTTAATATATTTTTTGCACAGGCGAAAACTTTATCGAATCTCAGCTAAATATTATTTTATGTATTTTTTCTCTGTTATGTGTATAGAATTACCTACATTTCGGCTATATAAAATACATACTTAATGAGTTTTAAATAATTCAAATACTTAAAATACTCAAATACCGCTACTTTAGGTGTGATTTTGTCAGTCAGTGAATTAACTATAAATTCATATTAGGCCAAATATACATATATCATAACTGTTAGGTTCTCTAACTGGAAGGTTACTACTCTCTTTTTTTAATTACTGTGTACGTATGTATATGTATATTAGTTATATACATAAACCTTTTAATATGTAAGTAAATAAATAACTTTTTTATATCTATATTAATATATATTGTTTTTTAATATATATATATTTAAGTAAGATCTTTATATAGGTTTTTCTTTTTATTCGAAATTTGTGCCAAGTCCATGCACTGCTCATCAGAAATCAGAACATTGACGAGCTAACAAAAGGTAAAAGCTATTTACGTTTATGTGCAGATTATTAAGTTTTCATATATAGTATTTATGTATGTAAATAGGGAAATAGTTTGGAAAAATTCATAGATTTAGAGAAACTTATTTGAGAAAAAAAGTATATATTTTAAAGTTTCTTGTATGTATGTATTTTCGTTGTATAAATTTGTAATCACACTGTGTTCACCATAAATTTGTCTGTGTTGTGTGTGATAAAATTACATATAATGCTTTGTGGGTGTAAAGCCAATTGTGTTTTTTAAAACTTTTTGCATTAATTTTGTCTAAATACTAAAAGTCAATTTAATTCAATATTTTTTATTTTTTTGGTATTTACAAGTATTTTCTCTCGGCTGGTGATCAGATATACATTTCTAATCTTTTTTTGATCTCATCTGTGACAGGCATCAAAATGTTGTAACAAGTTGGGCAGCCAGAAGAGGTCTTGCCTTAAATCCCAGTGAAATGGAATTTGACAACGGGGGAATTTCGCACTTATTTGATAGAGAAAGCGAAGCACTTGACGACAATCCTAGAGAGACCACTTGCCAGTAAGCAAATGTACATTAAAACCAGATAGTTTCCGGAAATTGTCATTTAAACTGCCCGCGCTGAATATTGTTCAGCACTTTTTTTGTTAAGTTGGTGGCACTGTCCTTATTTACTATGCCAAAAATGAGCGCGATCTGTCAACCAGATATAGGAATGGGCTTAACGCTGCGGTAGTCTGGATTTTGATCGCCTCAAGCGTGGGTTACTTCGCTAATCCACGATAATTTCAACAACGGAGGAGGAAGATTTATGGATAGATCGCTACTGGAGTCTTTTGTCGAGAATTATACAGCGTTGGGCGATGTAGGCTTCCATACCATTACACTGTTTTTAGGGCGACAGTTATAAAGGAAAAGTATACACAGTGCTTCGGAAGGCCGTTTTTGTGATGTATGCAAACATTTACTGAGGTAGCCAATCGGCTATTTCGACCTTGAGTATGGGGAGCTCCAAAATTTTGAAGGAATGATTGTCGTCTTGGGCTGCTGTGTTTCCTTATTTCAGAATTAAAATCAGAAAGACAACAGATTACAACATGGCTTCGCTAATGACGACCTAAATGCAAATGGGCATTCCTCTGACACAACTAAACCAGTTTCTGCGTATTTTTTGAGGTACTTCTAACCCAAGATGTGCCGTTTGTCAGGAAATCTCACTTGCAACTCATGATAAAAACTCTCGCACACTTTGGGAGTTTTGACTGATTCTATGCACTTTTTTATGAATTACCCAGGGCAGTGCTGAAACTATTATTTATTTATCAATTCGAAGGCGCCAACGGAGTACATGGAAATGGCATTCGACAAAAATATTTAGTGAGCTCAAACTATGACTGTTCACTGTGACAGTTTCGCTAAGTCCGAGCGAAGTGGACTGATTAATAGGGGGTTGGGGGGAGGGGTACAACTGCCTTAATGTTAAAGAAATTAGTTTAGTATCTCGTTTATCTCGTTGGCGTAGAGTATGTAAGAATGAATGTTATGGACAAGATCTCGAGGCAAAGGGGCTTTTTTGGATTAAAATATATCTGCCGAAAATGTCGATGTTTACAAACTAAAGGTTAAAATCTAGAACCATTTTAAGCACATAATCGCACGTGGCGCCAGTGGAAAATGAATTGGTAGTGGTCTGGTAGGCCAGGCTTCCTCGGAAGTCTATATTGAGTAAGGGGTCCCAGACTATAATTTAAAGGGGCGGAGCAAAACTCCATGAACTCTAGAACTATGTAGGCACACCGGAGTGTGATTTTGATATGAGAGAAGGTAGGATGTTAGATTTAGGGATTTTCCATTTTATCATAAGAAGTAATTTTATAACATAAATATTGTTTTCCTATTAATTATTTGTATAGCCGTAAATTATGTTAAAAAATAAAATAAAAAATATTTACTAACTTAATACTGATTCTTTTTAGCAATTTTATATCGTACTGTACACCATAATTTAAATTATAATTAATTTTATTTATTTTGTTAACCAATGTGCGAATTAAAAATGTTTGTTTACAAAATTTTGTGATTTCCCAATTCAATAAAGTGAAGTTGTGTTTGTTTTCTGTGCGTGTAATGTAGAAAAATTCATTTGCAGTATTTTTGAAAAATTAAAAAAAAAACTTCTCTTTGTTTTTATTACTTGGAAGTCTAGGGAGGAGAATGCAATGCACGCAAACATATTTACAGATAAGAGGTGAGGAATTAATTAAAGAAATCCGTAATGAACTTATTTATAGAAAATTATTTATTGAATATAGGAATTTTCAGGAAGCAGCCATTCGTTAGTGTTGTAGAGGCGTAATATGTTAAATATATGGCGGAAAAACAAAAAAAAAAAAAAAATAAAAAATACACTTAAAACCAAAACAAATCACTTATAAAGAAATATCATTTAATTACTGAATTTGCAAACTCGTTGAGAGGATTTTATGACTTCAATAAAAAAAATAAAAAATTGCATTGCTTTGCTCTGGAAAAAAAAACAAAAAAAAAGATATATTAGTCTAAAGGAGATTTACACAAGTTTCTAAACCTGCAATATGTTTTAAAAAAAAATCCGAATTTTTTAAAAAGAAAAGAAAAAGATTTTTTTCTATAAATAATTAATCTTTTTTCTAGAAGTGTTTAATATTTAATAAATCATTTTACTAAAAAAAGAGTATTTTCGCAAATTTAAGGAGAATAAAGAGTTGGGAAAATTAAAAAAAAAAAATAAATAATTATTTCATATTACGTTAAATACAAAATTCAGCTTATTTTACTAAAAATCATAAGACTAAACAAATAGTAATGAGAGGAAGGATTAAAAATCATGGTAATAAAATTGTATTTTATTAAATGAACAAATTCAGTGACCCTCGAGAAGACTTCTTTTGCTTTACTAAAATTATTATTATAAAAAAAAATAATTTAAATAAAATTAATATAAATAAATTTGTTTAAAATGATATTTTTATGGACATTTTAAGGCAAACACAGTTTGAAATCAGCAGCGTTTTGTTTAAATAATAGTTTTGTGTATTTTATTAAAATTTTTTGGTGTTTTGGCTGTTTATTTATGTATTCTTTCTTTCTCTAAAACATTTTTTAAATTAAGTTTTATTTGTAAATTTGTTAATAAAATGCGATTATGTGTATGTTAGATTTTAGTGTGTTAAGATTAGATTTAAAAAATATTTTACCTAAATCATCAAATTTGGTCCTTGGCTGTACTGCCACTGTACGTGGGTTGCGTATTTCGTTTGATTTTTTTTTTTTTTTTTTTTTTATAAGATACATAATATTTGAAAAACCATTACATATATGTAATTATATATATATATATATTACGAAAATTTTGAATAGTGTTAGCAAAAGGAATTTGAATTGAGTTTGGGAAGTTTTCAACGACAAAACGAAGTGGTTTGGTGGTTTGGAGAGTTTTTTTTTAAGTTGACCACACAGGACATATGTATGTTGTCGTTTTGTTGTTGTTGTGCAGGAACACGCCAACATTATATTGTAAATATACAAAAAAAAAATATGAAAAACATAATTGGAAAATATAGTGTTTTAATATATTTATATAAATAAATGTAAGTTATTAGTTTAGATAGTTGTTATCTTGGAAAAAAATTCGCACGAAGTTCTATTTTATACAGACATTTCAATAATAGTATTTATTGGTTAAATTAGTAACTACACTGACATATAAATTAGTAGCTAAAATATGGCATATATGTAAGTTTATCAATATATTGTATATATATAAGAGTTAAAAAATACCTAATATTAGTTTGCCAGTATTTCATAACTATTTAAATACCTGAAAGTATTCGTACGTAAACTTAAGTAAAATTAAAAATGCGTATACATGTATAATAGTTATTTAACAATATTTCACAATATCACAAATTCAATTTATTCTTCATCAATATACATTTTAAGTTGTCATATCAGTTTTATTTCAAATATTTAAAGACAGTAGTAGTAGATGAAAAAAAAAATATATTGAGAAACCAAATCAAAGAATTCTTACAAGAAATCAAAACTAAATGTATTCGAAATTAACTCTGTTATATAAAAATACAACTAAATAAATATTTCCATCATTAAATCATTCAATTAATTTTTTTATATATTGTATAATTACGAAAAGTTTACTTACAGTTTTTGCATTTACACTTCTTGATTAACGTTTCGTCTTTAATATCTTCATGACATGCCTTGCAATAGAACCAGGCGCTGTAAAAGAAAAGCAATGTGATTTATTTGAGAAAAGACTTTATTCAACTCATGTCTATTTTTTTACTCATTTTATTTTATTTGTTTAGTGCTATTTCATTTTATATTAAATTTTTTTAAATTTTATTTATTACCTCATTTTATCTTATGGTGTTTTATTTTATTTTTTGGTAACTTTAATTTAATTTTTTTAATTTTATTTAAGTTATTTTATTTGTTTAATTTTGTTCAATTTAAGTTTATTTTTTGTTATTTTGCTTTATTTTCTTTTTTGTTATATTATTTTTTGGTTTATTTAATTTAATTTAATTTAATTTATTTTGTTTTGTCTTCTTTTATTTCATTTTTTTTAATTTTTTTCTTTTATATTATTTTTATTTTTAATGTTATGTTTCCATTTCCATTTTTTACAATACGATAAGTACTTTATTTTATTTTATTTTTTGATTTATTTAATTTAATTTTATTTTTTCTTAATTTATTGTTATTGTTATGTTTTATTCTGATTAATTTAAGTCTCTTATTTTATTTTATTTTATTTGTTTAATTTTATTTTATATTGTTTTTATTTTCAATTTTATGTTTTATTTCATTTCATACACATATTGTAACCTTATATTATTTTATTTTATTTTTTGGTTTAATTAATTTAATTTAATTTATTTTGTTTTGTCTTATTTTATTTCATTTTTTTTAATTTTTTTCTTTCATATTATTTTTAAATATATATTCCATTTTTTACAATATAGTAAGTACTTTATTTAATTTTATTTTTTCTTAATTTATTTTATTTGATTTTTTGGTTGATTTGATTTAGTTTGAATTAATTTAACTTAATTCATTTTATTTTAGTGTCACTTATTTAATTTTTTGGTTTTTTTTTTAATTTAATTTAATTTTTTGCTTTATTTAATTTAATTTATTTTATTTCATTTGCTTTATTTTGATTAATTTAAGTATCTTATTTGATTTGATTTTATTTTATTTTGAGAGTTGAGTCGAGCACTCTTAGTCCACAATAGGAATATTGTGATACCTCTGTTCTTCATCTTCTTAAATAAGCGAACCATTTCTTGCGCCTTATAAAGCCAACGGGATTCCGTAGAAGCTATCTCAGCTCGACAGTTATTTTATTCAAATATAATTTAATTTATTTTTTTTTTGTTATATGGTTGCTTAATCTTTTCTTTATTTCACTTCTCCATTTACTTTAATATTGTATTAATTTGTTTATTTTTATCAACTCACCGTTTCACTTCATCCGCACTTTGCGCTATAAAGAAGCCTTGCGTATTCGCCTGTATTTTAGCATTACGTGGATTTATAGAAATCTTACTATCCGCACCCTCTTCGGCACCTTTGATTTCGATAGCTACCAGCAAGAGTTTCAATTTCGAGAAGCACAGTCTATGAAGGCAGGTGTTGAAAAAAACGTTATTAGTAAATTAGACATTTTTACAACAACTACAATGATGAAATACAAATACTATGATTATAGAAAAGTTATTTAGAAAATATTTAAGTAATTATATATATATATTTTAAATTTGTAAAAATATATAATATCCAGTATTTACAGTGTCATTAACTACAAAGACGCGCAAAAATTACAAAAATTTCATGCACTGTATATTACATATATATATATATTTTATAGTATGAGTTTTGAGAAAAAATAATTAAAAAAAAAACTTCACATGCATCATCACTACATCAAAAACACACTGCTTTATATTAAATAAGCAGCTTTTTGGTACGCATTGGAAGAAGAAATAAACTAAAATATTTTTTAAAAATGAAATTGTCGAATATTTCTATAATTCATTCTGAGCTAAGCCAAAAAATTGCGATTTACTATAAAAGCGGCAGACAAAAACACATACACATTCACCTATAGCGAAGTGGATTGCTGTACACATGCCAGAGACAAACGAACAGATGTATATAGGAGCATATGTACTCAGGTGTGTGTGCTACGTTGAGGATTGCTGGCTTAGGAGAGATTGGGTACTTTAGCGGAGTTAATGTGCTCTAGGTGAAAAATGACGCAGATTGAAAAATATGCTTAAATCATGCAGCGAATATTTGGTATGTATGTAGTGAGTATGGGGTTTCGTGCTTTATTTGGTTTTAAAATTTGGCCAATTGGTTAATGAGTCACAGATTAGATAATTGGCAAAACTTACGGATAAACTAGACAGTTTTAACTGGGGAGTGGAAGGCAAGCAGTTGTGTTGAAAAAAAGTTATTCGATTGCTGTAAGGGTTAAGGCATAGGGTCGTGATTGTACAGCGTGAGTTAATATGTAGTCTTAGCTGTCCATCGGCATCATATTAGGCAAAACTAAATGCCTTAGTATAAAAAAATATTGAGGGTTGGTCTGGGGAGTATACAGTGCAGAAGAACGGCAACTTCGAGACTTATACTTAATTATTTTTTAGCTATTTTTTTTTGTAATTCAGCTATTTTAACACTTTTTAATGCTTTCATTAAATTGCGCTTTTCCAGCAAAAAAAAAAAAAATAGTTTTACTACCAAAAAGAAATATGTAATAAATCTCGAAATTATCAAACTTCCTGTAGCAAATTATATCTTTTGTTTATTTACTCAAATTGGAGGAGGCAGGCAGACAGGCAAGTGATTTGATTAATGTGCGTAAGTTTATAAAAAAATTATTTGAAATTTAGTTCGAGTTAAAATGGAATACTAATTTCATTACAGGGTACAAAAGTGTATGCAAGACCGTAAGCATTCCAAAAAAATTCAAAAAGATTTGGAAGTTTTATACTGAGACGCACTAGAAGGAAATAATATGGGGAAATTGGGTAAAAAATAATAATTTAAAATAGATTTATTTTGAAAATTTTTTAAAGAATGTTTATTGTTTTACCGAATTATTATTCATTTTGTTTTTAAATGATAAGTGGGGAAAAAATTATTTTTGTAAAAAAATTAAAATCAAATATAATGTAATAGAATAAAATGAAATAAATAATAAAATAAAAAAATTATATAAAAAATAAAGTATATTGCAAAAAGGGGACCAATAAAAAAATTAAAATAAAGGAAAATAAAATAAAAAAGTCAAATGATAAAATAAAAAAATTAATTAAAATATAAAATAAAATGATATAAAATATAATTACAAAATTATAAAAAAGACTTTAACAAAATAAAATTTAGTAAAGTAAAATAAAAATATAAAATAAGTAAAATCAAACAAAATAAAATAATTGAAAACAAAATAATATTCATTAATATAAAAAAATATAATAAAATAAAATGAAAGGAATACAATAATAAAGTAACTTAGAAAATACTAAAATAGAATAAAGGAATATAAAATAAAATTAATTGAAACTGGAAAGACAAAATAACAAAAAAGTAAAGCGAAATAATATATAAAAAATAAAATTTATTAAAATAAAAAATATGTATAATAAATAAAATAAATAAAATAAATAAAAAGGAGAATAAAATACTACAATATAAAATGAAATAATATACAACAAATTAAAATACAACAAATAAAATGAAACAGAATACAAAATTAAATAAATTATTAAATACTAAAATAAAAAAAAATAAAAATAAAAGAAAAATAAATTAAAACTCGAAAGAAAAAACAAAAAAGTAAAACAAAATAATATAAAAAAATATAAAATTTATTGAAATAAAAAAAATTATAAGACAAATAAAATAAGACTAAATACAATTAATAAAAATATAATGAAATACCATAAAATAATAAAAAATATTACAAAAAATATAAAATATATTATTAAAATAAAAAAAAAAAAACAAATAAAATAAAACTAAATAAAATTAATAAAGAAAGAATAAAATTCTATAATATGTAATAAAATAATATATAATAAATTAAATTACAATAAATGAAATGAAAAAACACAAAATTAAAAAATTTAGAAAATACTAAAATAAAATATAAGAATTTAAAATAAAATTAAGTTAAACTGGAAAGAATAAAATTAAAAAATAAATTCAAGCAAAACAAAGAAAAATAAAATAAAGGTAAGTAAAGTATAAAAAAATAAAATATATAAAATTAAATTAGTAAATTGAAATAAAACCAACTAAAATCAATAAAAAAAATTAACTGAAATAAAATTAAATTAAATAAAATTGGAAAAAGAGCCCTCCTTATACTTTTTAAGACGATATTAAATTTACTTGCATTTAATTATCCAATTCAATATTAATTCTCATATCTAAAGATTTTTCAGATACTTTTTAGGCATTTTTGACCTCAAACCTCATTTCTGAACAAATCGTTTATGAGGAGCTGAAAGACATAGTAGTAATCCGATTCCGATGATTTTCAGAGTTAAATTAATTGGTATTCTAGACCGAATTTAACTCTTTTACATCATTTTTTGGACGGAATTTTGAATAAAATATTTCTTAGGGAACCCCGCTGAGTTGCTAGTGATAGAGCTAACGATTGATATAAATGACTTTATAGTTTTCAAATAAAATTATTTGAAAATATATAAAATCGTTATAAGTCGTTTGAATTGTATAATTTTCTTATCGATTTCAATCAAAAATTTACTTTTAATTTAAGTTTTTAATCAATTTCTTTCTTGTCCTTCCTCTAGTGCGCCTTTTATGTATGTGTTTTAAATAAATATATTTAAATTAATTTATTAATTCTTATTTGCTCTAAAAATATGCTAAATAAAATGCAGTTACAAGATTTTTTTGTTTCTTTTAGGCTGATTTTTATGAAATTAGTTTAGTAAGTAAAGTAAGAAAAAAATTAGAACTACATTTGTTATGTAACTAATTCGTTTGTTTCGGGTCTTACTCGCTGGCTTGTGGGAATGTCATGCCGGTAAATGAAGGTGAGAGGGTTTCGGTGTACATCTCACACCCGGTACCTTGAAGATAATCGTTTTGCCAGGCCTGTGTATCTGGTGACTGAAAGTTAAAAATGATTCGGATGTGGTACGGATTTAGTAACCAAAATCAAAGTGAGAAATGAAAAACAACATTATAGCAAATTCTTATATATGTACATACAATCGAGACTACCAAATACGAAAACGCTATTGGAGGTTGAAGTAGGGGGAGACAAGATATTTAGATGTCAATTGCTGCAGTGCAACCGGGAATGGGACGCAGCATCGGCGCGGTTTACTTAATTGTGGAAGCACGCTTAAACTGCATAGGGAATATCTCGGGGCACTTCAATCAATACGGAGAGGCATTACAAGCTAGACTTTTCTGCACGCCTACTTTATGCGTAGTGCAGCTTGGAAAGCACGTGCCTATTATCATGCCTCTACCTCATGTAATGGGTACTGCAATAGTGTTGTGGAATGCTGGGCTTTGTACTCTCATTCACGCGGCATTAATTCAAACTTTTCTCTCTCTTTTCAGCAGCAATGGAAGTTTTCAACGCGAGCAGACTATCGTTTATTAAGGTAAGCTTAAATTTACGCCTTTTTTATATACAAAATCGTTTTTATTATATTATGTATCAAAGTTTAAATATTAAAAAAAAAAAACAAGAAAATATATATACGCAACTGAAAGTAATCTAAATGAGCAGATTTTTTATAAGTTTAAAAAATTAGCAATGAAAGTAATTTTATGTATATTATTGATGTGTGTAGTATGTGTTTGTGCTCACATTGGGCCAGTGAAGGAGTGAATTTAAGCCAATTTCTCACCATATCATGTCGAAAATTATGTCAAAATATCAAAACATATTATTTTTCGATTTAAATTTTTAAAAAACGATTACTGAAACAGTTTATGTCTTAATTTTTAGAATTAACAGAATTTTCGCCATTCTTAATTTCTATATTCGGTTCATAAGTTGTATTATCGGTTATTGAGTTTCGGGGTTCCAAACTTGTGCTCGTCAGACCTCTATCCTGTGATTATTGAGCTCTTTCTCTCCTCTTGAAACTTGTGTACGAGGTGTGACAATTGAGTAAAGAGACTGATTATATTGCCGCGATTGTGGTAACCCTACGACCCGGCATCCTTCTCCTCTCCATTGATATATTTCCCATCGCTCTAGCTAAATATTGGGTTGCCCAAAAAGTAATAGCGGATTTTTCATATAGTCGGCGTTGACAAATTTTTTCAACGGCTTGTGACTCTGTAATTGCATTCTTTCTTCTGTCAGTTATCAGCTGTTACTTTTAGCTTGCTTTAGAAAAAAAGTGCGCGAAATTTTGTTTACATTTGTTTGTTTGGCATCAATTTTAATATGGAGCCCACAAAGGAGCATTTTCGTCATATTTTACTTTATTATTTCCGTAAAGGAAAAAACGCGGAGCAGGCTGCTAAAAAGTTACGAGATTTGTATGGTGATGAAGCCTTAAAAGGAAGACAGTGTCAAAATTGGTTTCGCAAATTCCGTTCTGGAGATTTTTCACTTAAATATGGGCCACGTTCAGGTCGGCCAAATGAAGTTGATGATGACCAAATCAAAGCATTAATCGAATTGGATCGTCATGTAACTGAGCGTGAGTTAGGAGAGAAGTTAAATATACCAAAATCAACCGTTCATTATCACATAAAAAGTCTTGGGCTGGTGAAAAAGCTTGATATTTGGGTACCACATGTATTGAAAGAAATTCATTTAACACACCGAATCAACGCTTGTGATATGCACCTTAAACGCAATGAATTCGATCCGTTTTTAAAACGAATCATAACTGGAGATGAAAAATGGGTTGTTTACAACAACGTTCGTCGAAAACGATCATGGTCCAAGCATGGTGAACCAGCTCAAACCACTTCAAAGGCTGATATCCACCAAAAGAAGGTTATGCTGTATGTTTGGTGGGATTGGAAGGGTGTCGTATATTTTGAGCTGCTTCCAAGGAACCAAACGATTAATTCGGATGTTTACTGTCAACAATTGGACAAATTGAATACAGCCATCATGGAGAAGCGACCAGAATTGGTCAATCGTAAAGGTGTCATATTCCACCAAGACAACGCTAGAACTGAGTGAGCTTGGCTGGGAACTTTTGATGCATCCACCATATAGCCCTGACCTTGCACCATCAGACTACCATTTATTTCGATCTTTGCAGAACTCCTTAAATGGTAAAACTTTCGGCAATGATGAGGCTATAAAATCGCACTTGGTTCAGTTTTTTGCAGATAAAGGCCAGAAGTTCTATGAGCGTGGAATACTAAATTTGCCAGGAAGATGGCAAAAGGTTTAACGGTGTTTGTGTTGCACGTCACGAAAATGGAACAAACAAATCAAGATCAACGCGTCGCTATAGGATTTTGCGACGAATTGGGCGAAATAGCTTCAGAAACGTACGCTAAAATTGTATATGAGAGCTGGTTTTTCCAGACGACCCGGAAACCAAACGCCTCCGCACGCCCCCCGCCTGAAAAAGCTCGCATGAGCAAGTCGAAGGTGCAAACGATGATTATTGCCTTTTTTGATAGCCGTGGCATCGTCCACAAAGAATTTCTTCCACCGGGGCAAACCGTGAAACAAGTCTACTATCGCAAAGTACTCGAAAGATTGTGAAAACGAGTCAACAGGGTGCGCTCAGATATCGCTCGTAACTGGATCCTTCATCACGACAACAGGCCATGCCACATCGCCCTCATCGTGTGCCAGTATTTGGCCTCTAAGGGGATCGCCGTGTTGCAACAACCGCCTTATTCGCCCGATAAGTCGCTCTGTGACCTTTTTGTTCAGTCGAATCAGTCTCATTACTTAATTGTCACACCTCGTATACTGCCTACACAATGTCTGTGGATTTCCAGAAAGTGTTGCATTACATACAGACTGCAACGGAATATAATAAAGAGGTTTAAGCTAAAGAAAAGTGGATCCTTTTTGAAATCTGCTATTGTGATTGACTACTTTAACTTCGGGAACGGAAAAAGGATAACTTATTTCGCCACAACTGTAAAAAAAAATTCAGCTTCTAATGGCGATACATCCTCAAATGGATTGAGCTTGGTCGACTTTGCCAGAGTCCTAAATATGGTTGTCATAAGCTAGACAGCCAAACGAATTTTTGCTCGATATATCGGAACTCTGGAACGAGCCGACAATAGCCGAAAAACTTCTCGTACGATAAGAATAGCCGTTCCATATTAGGGACAAAACAGATTTTGAACCGCAGATTGCCTAAATCGACCACAAAGCGCGTTATGTGCCCATTTGCCTAGAGTTGTTAAGGGAAGATAGGCACATTTGGAGACAAAAAACGTGAGAGCCCGAAATGAGGAGCTTGAGCAGCTGGTCGAAAAAACGCGACAACTTACAGAATATACCAAAATCGGAGCATACTCATGTAGAAATCGAAGAGCTAGTCCGTTTTTCGACTGAGCAATTAGAACTGACGTGTTGCTCATAAAACCTATTTTGCAGAATATGATTAGACGAAGGAAGCTCGGCCAAAAATCGCTTCATCGGTCAGCGAAAACATGTCCGGCGATTGTCAATTTTTTCTAATTTTTCGAATTTATATTTATTTACGAATATTTTCCAAAAATCTGAAATTGATCCGACAAACAGTCTCTGAGATATGATCGTATCATTAAGGTCGGCTAGTGGCGTTTGAAAATAGCCGAAGTGCAAGGTAGAGTAATGTGCGCTCCGGTAAATACATAAGAAGAGGGAACTAATTACTGCAAGAAGAACTTCCTCAATATTGTATATAAGATCTTATCACACGTGTTGTGTGAAAGAGGGAAGCCTACCAACGAGCTGATCGAGCTTTATGAGAGTTGCTTTAGATGTGATAAATCTATCGTTGGCCAGATATTCATTATGAGTAACATTTTTCCAACGAATCGAAAGAACTACAAATAACTCTAAGTCGGCTTCAAACGTTGATGGATTTTCATAAGGAGCTTTTTATTCAATCAAAAATACCCTAGAAGGAGCTGAAATTCTTTACAGAGGAACAAAAGCAAATTAATAATATTTTTTATGATTTTATGAGAAGCCTTTTATTAGAAATACACCCGGAGAACATTTCCTTTCGAAGCCTGGCCTACCAAAAAAATGTGTCTAACTGAATGCTATCGAACCCATAAAACTCTCAAACTACAGTGGCTTCGAAGGTCAAAGCAACCCGTTAAAAACAAATTAACTAGACAATTTAATATTCAGTTTTCATTACAATTATAAATTTATTATTAATTGAGTTATTTTTCAAAAATATTTGGTGGAAATGGATTAAACTCAACTTATGCACGTATCCGCTGTGCTCTCACGACTGTGTAGTAGGTGCCATTTAAAAGTCTAAATTCAGATTATCTTTACGCTCACTACCATACCAATTCATTCAAATTTGAATAAAAAATAATATATTAATTTTAAATATAATAATATTTTATTTAGTAATTTTTATTTATTTTTTCTTTAAATTTTGTATTAATAAATAATTTTTGCACAACATCGAAGGCTTTGGTAAAAACATTTAAATTCACTTGTAAACACCATAACAAAAGTAAAATTAAAGAAAAATTTTACAAAAAATGCCAATACGATTACTCGATTAGGAAAAAAGTAAGAAATTTTTGCCAAGAAAATAGAATGATTGGAAAGTAAAAACTTCAAGAGGCAACACAGTATTTTGTATTTTACGACTCGCCAGTGAAATTTCGTTCAAATTACTTTTTTATTTATTTAAATTTACTCACAACTAATTAATCGACACATTAAAGAAGAAGAAGAAGAATACGAAACCTAAAACATACGTATTGTCAAACAACAGTTAGAATGACGTTTTGCAAAAAAACATTTAGAACGAAAATTCGACAAACTGGACATTTATATTTAGTAATACGGTTAGTATCGTGTGTAAGTGAGTGTGTATGTGAGTGTAAGAGACTTTTCGAGTGAATATGCTTAAAGTGTGTAGATAATTTTTTCATTTCATTTTGCATTTACTTGTTTGTTTTTTTTTTTTACTTTTTTCTTAATTAAAGAAACTCAATTCAAATGAGCGTATAATACGTAAAATTAAATAAAACAAAATAAAAAGCACTTTAAAAAGCTTTTAGAAAAACTCATCATATATAGATAGCTTAACGGTGTAAACCAACAAAATATATATGTGTATATATTGGAGTGTGTGTGTTTGTAGTAAACTGTAATGTACATTTATGAGAAATTTTGTGGTAAATCATTGTTGTATGTATGTATGTATATATGTATGTATGTATATATGTATGTATGTATGTTTACTTCATACGATAGAAATACGAATACGAATAGGTGAGAATGTTTACGTATGAAGTTTACGTAAGTTATTTGATACGACACACGCCAATGCCAATGCCAATGCCAATGCATTTCATCAACTTACTCAGTAGCCTGAGCAAATGGTATTCCAATAAATGTGGGACTCAATGTTTCTGTGTACATTTCCATGCCGGTGCCGCGTAGGTAGTCATTAGTCCAAGACTGCATGTCTGGTGACTGCAGGTACACATTATAATATTTAAATTGTTGTTGTGGTAGACAGAGGTATTGGTTTTAAAAATAAATACACTTATATGATATATAAATAAAATAACGTAGATTTTGTTATAACGAAGAATACTTTATACCGCTAAATAATTTTTTTATTTTTTTAAATTTATAGACTTTTTATTTATTAATAAATTTAATTTTTTTATTTTCAACTATAAAACCCTAACCAATTAAAGAAAACTAATAGCATTGGGAAATCAACCATCAATTACACCTAAATAAATTTACGCTGAAAAAAAAATTATAAAATCACGCTCAAACTAAGACATTGAAAAGACAGTTGTTGTTGTGCCTTTTTGCGGAATTTGATTAAACAAGTTTAAGAATTGTTCACAAAAACGATTATATGCATGTGTATATGTGCAACTGCATACTTACAGTTTTGAACGAACGCATAGCAAATAAATTCGCCATCATTGTTGAGAAGCCCGGCGCCAGACAACTCTGTGCAATAAAGCCGAGTTTCAGTTCAGCCAAGCAGATGACGTCATCACCTTGTTTCCAATCCCATGAGGGTATATTGAGTAAATAAGCCTGTAAAAAATATATATATTAGGTGCTGAATTCTTCAATGTCGGTTTAGATAAGGCGTAGATCTTGACTTCAATAGGTAATGCTTAAATTTTTAAAGAATTTTTGGTTTTGATCATTATTTTACAAGGGTTTAAAGGGTTTCCCAAATATCTTTCATTTGAATTTTTGAAATGAGTGGCAACCCTGTTCAGACATATTATACAATAGTAGTAATGGCCTTTCTATCCAAAATTTACCCGAAAGAGTTCCCTTGGATAGGTGTCTGACAACGGAAAGCTTGAATGAGAACGCAAATCTCCTTCCATAATTACAGTAAAAGTATAATACTCAGAGTCGGCACAATCAACCTTCGACTAATAGCCGTTTCTTCGCCCGACTATGATGAAGTAGGATTGGCAATTACCCGCCCGAAACCGGTTACCGATCGATAGCTTAACGGCTGAACTGTTCAAATATGGTGGTGAAGAACGGACAAGGCTTATGCATTCACCTTTTTTCTACATCTTCTTGAAATATTGTCGAGTGAGAACGCGCAAATAAGATCTTATCTAGCAAACTGTGTGTAAGATTGAAACCTACCTTCAAAGAACTAATCATAAAGACTTTGTACCTACCGCCAGTGGAAAGATCAAGCATCAAGTCTAGAAAACTGAATGTACCGACATTTCTAAACTCTTTCTAAATTTAAAGCGGCCTTCGAGCGGATATGTAAGTTGACATAAAATAACTCCAATAGCTCCTTCACAATAGGGAAGCCTTTATGCCTCCGTATCGTGCGACTTGTTCAATCTAATATTGAAGAAAATGATAAGTACTACGGAGCTAGGTAAGGAAGGTGTATTCTTCTTATCAGAGCCTAGAACATTAACAGAAATGCCGATATTATAATATAAGTCTCAACAACCGTGCAGGTAGTTCTGCTTTCTCAAGATTGTATTAAATTGGAAATGGGCCGTATAGTGAACGAGGAAAGAAATAATTATTACTAGTCATCAAACCCATTCGATTATTAGTAAGACTGTTTCATTTAAGAAGGAACTAGTATCAACATTAACAACAATTTCTGCCTTAAAATCCAATGCAGGACCGCACTTGCAAACATTTGTTACTCTAGACTGGGTAGGTAATTGAAAAGTGACGTCTTGCCTCGACGAAGACTCATTATTCCCAGCCTGCTATAAGGGGCGGAGATCTGGACGGACGATATCTAGATTCGATGAGACAGTATTAGGAGGTTTCAATAGATTTGTTGTCCTCTGCACAGACGATAGAACGGTGAGCTGAATGAGATATAAGATTATATTGACCGAATTGGTCATGCCGTCTGAATGGATGAAAATACGCCAGCTCTGAAATTGTTCGATGTAATAGTGGTCGGGAGAGGTGTGTTGTTAGCTCTTTCCATTTTTTTGCAAATGAGGTACAGGAAAGCTGGAACTGGAGAAGAACAGAAAGTATCCTAAAGAGAGCTGATAAAACAGTGTTATACGAGGTGTGACAATTAAGTAATGAGACTTATTCCATAAAAACCGTATAATTCAAAATTATTCTACAACTCTGCCATCCCCTTCAAAGTAGGCTCCTTGGGCAGCTATACAACCCACGTTTTCCACGCTTCGTAACATTTCTGGAACGCTTCGACTGGGATATCCGTGAGTACCCTCGTCACGGCCGCCTGGATGTCCTCAATCGACTCAAAGTGGGTTTCTTTGACCACCGATTTTTTCTAGGGAACATATATCGGACGAATAAGGCGATTGCTGCAGCCGGGATACGTTGAGGGCCGTGTGGCACGGCGCGTTGTCGCGATGAAGGATCCAGTTACGAGAGATATCTGTGTGCACCTTGTTGACTCGTTTGCGCAATCTTTCGAGTACTTGGCGATAGTATACTTGATTTACGTATCGCCCCAGTGGAACAATTCCTCGGCACTTTTTTGGGGTGGATCTAAAGTAGGCAACAGGGTCAGTAGTGGAATCAACTCAAGGAAAATTGCGATCAGCAAGTTTTTTCGGCAACCAAATGACTGTAGTGTTTTTCGAGCTGAACAGACGGCCTTGCACGAAGCGGTTAATTGTCTAGGTCTAATGGTAATGTCGGTGATTTGTATTTATGTGTATTCTCGAATATCCTGGCAGTACAGAGAGCCAGGGAATCTGTCCTAAACGACAAGGGGAATGGTTGCCAAGTACCACAAAACATTAAATGTGATGGCTTAGCGGTTCACTCTGTACTTAGGACACCGCATATAAGCTGACTATAATAGAGTTATTAAACGCAGAACTCAATGGTAATCTCAATAGATATTGAGAAGTTACAATTTCGACATTTATTTGGAATCTTCTGCAATATTTTCAGTGTACCTTTTGGCCTCCGAACGGCCGATGGATTTTTATGAAAAGATTTTTATTACGTTTCAAAAATTTACTCGGATTAACATTCCATGCCGAGCTGGAAAGCTTAGCTCATACTCAACTTGATTATTTTTTGTTTTTGCTTTTCCTGTAATACGATAAGAGCAACTTGATGTTCTTTTCCGAGTCTCGTACAAAAGATTATAGCTTTAATTCACAAACACCTGGAAATAATTTAATATTTTAAATAAATAACACTCACCTTATTATGATATTGCATAAGTTGTATAATCACTCGTATATCTTCGCTGTAGTTTTTAATCGAGATGACTCGCATAATATTGGCAGCATCTTCAGCATCGGGATCTTGGCAATATTTATTGGCCAGTACCAAGCAGGCATCAGCTTCGTGTACCTGGATCAGATCGCAATGAACAAACACACGCGAAGCAGATGAAATTAATAAATATAAATTAGTATATTTATAAATGCACAAAAAACATAAAATGAATAACTGTATTTCTGTAGTTTGTGGTGAATGTGGTGGTGGTGGTGAGAATGAAGTGATTGAAGCTGGTGGCAAATGAGGTGAACACAGAAAGCGTAAAGCTATTTATTATGTATGTAAAACAGTAATGTAGACAAATATTGTAACATATAATTTTTTCCAAACAGCTGACTTCTTTTTTGGTTAATTATAAATATGTATTTTTTCCCGAACGACCTTAATGGTATGCGGTATGATGAGGTTTGTTTATTGAAAATGAAACGAAATGAGCAATGGAATTGTGATGGTAAATATTTAATGGTAATTTAATAATAGTTGAAGTGATATAAAAAATTAAATCGAAAAAAACAACATTTTTTTAAGTAACGGTAAGCATATAAAATAATTAATTAAAGCATATTGTATGAAATCAACAAAATGGTGCATTAAGAGTGTACTTTTACTTCGTTTCTAACTTTCATGCGTTCAAAAGTTCAATTTTTTTTTATTAATATTTACAGTAAACATGATCTATTGCTTTATACATATTTACAACAAAAAGTTGCACTTATAGAACATGCCACATGCACCATGCAGATACTATTAGCTAAAGAAAATTTATGCTTTCCTAATTATTTACATATAATTTTATCAGTATGTAATTATATACAAATGTTTATGAGGAATTCATTATTGGTTTACTATATATTTACAGTATAACCGTACCAGTAGAGATGTCTACTATTTTGTTTCATTGTAATTTTTTTTTTATTTTGCAAATTTTATGACCTCAAAGCCAAATTAAAATAAATAAATTTGGGGGAATAAATTTTAAATTTAATTTTATACTAAAACTTTATATGAAATATTACCGTAAATTAGCCAAAATTATTTCCTGAATATTTTTTAAAATATAATTTTCATAATTTTTTTTAAATTATTTCCGAAAATAATATATTTTTATATATATTGATATTTTAATATCATTTAAAATTTAATTTTGAATAACTTTTTTTTCAGATACGAAATGTGTTAAAAAAAAACAATAATGAGAATTTTAAAATAACGCGGGCCTGAAGAGTCCCCCTGCACAACATTTCCTTATTTTGTTGGTATACATGTATGCTAGGGAGCTTGAGAAGCTGCCGACAAGTTTAATGTTCGAAAATTCTACGAAAAGATACGGCGACTTAGGAAAGGTTTCAATACCTGAGCAAACACTTGTAGGACGTAGGGAGGTGAGCTAGTGACGGTTGACCAGAGTATACTGAATTTATTGAGAGTACATTTCTATAGCCTGCTGAATTACAGTTAAAATGGAACACCAGAAGAAGGTGATCCCGATTCTATGACTATGGAATAGGTGATTCACTGCCCGAATATGAAGAAGTATGAATAGGAAACACCCGCTTAAAAAACAACAAAGCGGCGGGGATCGATGGATCGCCGGCCAAGCTATACAAATACGGCGGTGAAGAGCTGGACAGGTGCAAGCATCAGCTTCTTTGCAAAATATGGTCAGATGAAAGCATGACAAACGATTAGGTTCCAATCATGTGGTCTGCGCGATACACAAAAAGTGTGACCCCACAGTCTGCGCCAATTTCCGTGGGATAAACCTTCTTAATATCGCATATGAGGCCCTATTAAGCGTGTTGTGTGAAAGACTAAATGAACTGATAGGACCTTATCAGTGTGACTTTAGACCTGGTAAGTCAACCATTGGCTAGATATACATCATTCACCAAATCTTGGAAAAGATCCGTGAAAAGAATATCGACACACACCATCTTTGCTTCGATTTTGTAGTAGCCTCTACGCCCCTATGTCCCAATTCGGTATCCACACAAAAATTAAATGGTTGTGTAAACTGACACTAAGCTATACCAAAAGTTCTGTCAAGATCGGGAAGGAACGCTTCGAGCCGTCCGATATCAACAGGTGCTACTTTGGATTGAGTAGGCAATTGAAAAGTGAAGCTCTCTCCCTAGACGAAAAGGGATCTACTCTACAAGTCGCTCATCATTTCCGTCCTGCTGTTGTGGTGCGTAGGCACGGACGATGACAAAAACTGTTCAGCCGGGATTAGAATTTTTTGAGAGCAAGGTTTTGCGTACGATTTATGGTCCTCTACGAAATGGATAGACAAATTCCACAGCCGATCGAACGATGAGCTGTACCAGATATACGGCGATATTGTCATAATACTGGCTGTTGCTGGCTAGGTCATATAGTCCGGATGGATAAGAATACTCCAGTTTTAAAGGTAGTCGGTGGAGGAACCGCCGTTGAAGGCACTTCGTGAGAAGGATCAGTTAGAACAAGACCCGGCTGTTCTCTAGGTATTTCCAATTGATGCCAAGCAGCGAAAAGAAAGTATGAATGGCGCTGGTGTTGACTCGGCTATAATCTCGTAAGCGCTGTCTTGGCCATTAAAGGAGAAGAAGAGGAAGTCGCCCGTGGATTATGATAAAACTTGACTCTGTTTTCATTGCTGACTTTGTCTATGACAGTCAATAAAATTAAAGGTATTATTATAACTTGGTGATTTCTGTTTGTTAAAAGAAATGTTTCAAGAAAAGCTGAAAGATGGAATAAAGTGCAACAAAGTGTGTGAAATCTTAACGACGGGCAATGAAGTAATTAAGGATGTGAAAACTTGAAGACGACGAACCCCTGAGACACCCCAGCGAATTAGCAACTGATTGAAGCGTGGGAAGAGTGAAGTGAGTGCCAAGCAACGATCGCCCGAACACAATGAGGGCAGGACTGATGAAGTTGGCATTTCGACAGGATCATTTCAAAGTATTTTTTCCATTGTTTTGGAAACGAGTTTGAAAATTTCGAAGAAAAATTGCAGCGAATGTAAATTACTCCAGAGTCGCTATATAAAGTTAACTGCGATGTAAAATTGCTGAATCGCGTTATGACAGGTGTCGAAACATGGGCTTATGTGGGTTTGGATGTGTCGTCGAATGTAAAGCTCTGTTATTGCAGGCAATGCATTTAAGCTCGTCAAGACCGAAAAAGGGGTCTGAAAGGGCAATCGAGCGGAGTTTTTCGATTTTAATGACATGCTGCATTGAGAACTCCTGTAAAAAAACATTTCAGTTCAGTTCAGGCAACTGATCACATTACATACATTGTTTATTCGTAAGTTTAAGGCAGAAAACAATACCGTTACAATGCTCCTGCCTCTATATTCCAATTTTTAATAAATATCAGTAGGAAAATGTATTTAAATTCAATTTATTATATTTTAATTTTACTCTTAGGTAAGCTCAAAACTAATAAAGAATTGTATAAAATCTGAACTGCATATTGAAGGCGAGTAAATTTTTAATTTGAAAATTGCGCAAAGTTGTATGCTAAAATAGTAAATTACATAATGAAAACATCTATATACGTAAATACATTATAATATAATAAAAAAGCGTTTTATTGCATGCTCTCTAATGTACTTTGGCAACTACTTTTGGGCTTATGATATTCGAAAAACAGTCGAACTATTGTAGTAACGAACAAAAGCCGTACAAAGTCTTACGCGCACTTCAATAGCTAAATATAAATACGAGGTCATAAAAGGCTAATTGCTAATAGTTTTAACCTCCTTGAGTTACTTGTAATCAAGCGGCGTGCATTATGTAGGACTTTACCTACTAAAGAGTACCGTTAGTGGTGAGTTGTTATACACTTACATTTTTACATACTCGTAAATGTTATTTTTAACATCAATTATACATACATATTCAACTTTCGCCGTTGAATAAAATAAAAGATTAATTTCTTTTTTTTTATATTCTGTACACTATTTTTTTATTTTATTTATTTATTTTTTACAACGCACATTATTTTTATTTATTTATTTATTTCTCACAATGCACATATGTACAAACGTACTGTATTGAGGTAAGCAAGCGATTAAACTTAAAAATACTGTAAGCTTATTATTTATAACAAAGTACTTAGCTTAGTTTTACATTAACGGGAAAGGAGGGGAAATTTCGTTTATCGGTTTTCCTTCAATTTTCTTTGCTTTACAGGAATTGGAAATTAAGGTACGTATTCCAGTGGATAAAGGGTGAGTATTTCAGATTAGGGTAAACAATTCAAGGTGAGTATAAATTTCTTATATATATATATATATATATTTATTTAATTTAAATTTTTCTTTCAGAACTCTATGAGATCGACACTCATGTCTTCAACAATACATTTGTGTCTGATATGTAGATGAATACAATATGTTTTACTTCCAAAACACGCACACATATACATTTGTAAATTATAACTTTCCATTAAATAAACTTACAAATATTGGTAGTTTTTTTTTATTTACAAATATATTAAAATATGATACTACATATACATATTTACGTACATATACACAAATAATTAATGCCATTAGTAGATTATGAGTTTAAATATACAGTTGTTTTTTGGTAAGTCGCTTAATGTCATTAACATTTTTTATTTATTTTTTTTTTTGACAATAAAAAATAAATGATTGAAATTAAACCGCAATTTCCTTGAAAAAATAATACAAAACCTTTTGTTTCAGCATGAGTATTGAATGAAGAATATATATATGTATATATAATATATATATATATATATGAATATATTGGGTTTTTGTAAACGCAGAAGCGATTTTTCGACTGAGCTCCTCCTCCGATTTGTGGTTTTGCGTCTTGCGTTTTCTCAACAAATGGAGTTCATACTACGCCGCCTCCGAGCGACGATCGCAATTAGAAAATTTAAATTAATTTTTATGTAAGCTGATTTTCTATAACATTTGGATGTTGGTCGCACCGGAATTTGAACCCGGGCCTTCCGAATAGCAGTACGCAATGCTTACCATTCGGTTACCGCGGCCGCCTGTGAAGAATACCCGAAGTCAATTAGGTGTTCGTACAACCATATCGAAT